CTCATGAGGTTCAAACGGGCCCACTTCTCGAGCTTGTCCAGGTCCCTCTGGATGGCATCCCGTCCCTCAGGCATGTCGACCACACCACTCAGCTTGGTGTCATCTGCAAACTTGCTGAGGGTGCACTCGATCCCACTGTCTATGATGTCATTGATGAAGACATTAAATAGTACTGGTCCCAGTACAGACCCCGGTGGGACACCACTTGTCACCAATCTCCATCCTGACTTTGAGCTGTTGACCACTACGCTCTGGATGCGACCTCATCCACCGGACAGTCCACCCATCAAATCCATACCTCTCCAGTTTAGAGAGAAGGATGTTGTGGAGGACCATGTCAAAGGCCTTAGGGAGGTCCAGATAGACGACATCTGTAGCTCTTCCCTTTTCCACTGATGCAGAGATGCCAGCTGATATACTAGGTGTCAAACAGCCTACTCCTTATATTTTGTTATGTAATGACAAGATGCTTATTTTGGATGCCAAGACCATGTTTGAAAAAGTAGAAGTGTTTATTGTTTGACTGCATAATTGAGCATATGTGAATAATGTAAAAAAATGTGTTTACTCTTAGAACAAGAAAGTGTTTGGGTAAAGAATTGCTCATAACTGCAGTGAGAAAGAGTCCCACCTGGAGTAATCAGAAATTTTTCCTTCCATAAATGCTTATTCTGTTGTGTTATAGAAAACACAAATAAGAGTTAGAGCCTCATTGCTCTCCTGGGAAACCAGCTTGTGAGATGTAAGGCAGGGCAAATTTCATTCACAATACTATTTTTAATCTTTAAAAGCAAACAACTATAGGATTTGCCAAGGATCATATGTTTGTTTATTTAAATACTTCAGCACCTATGACTTGCTTTAGATATTTGACAATAACTTACATGTATTATTTGTAAGGAGTGAAAAATCAATGAACACATTAACATTTCTGAGATCCCGATGTCCACAGAGAATTTCAGTAACATTGTTCACGTTTATAACCTTGCATTTGACTACTACTTTCCTTCTGTCCAGAAAGAAGGAAAATGAAGGCTTGTGCAACACGCCCAGAAAGTTAACAGATTAATGTAAAAACAGATTTTGGCAAAAAAACAAAGAAAGAAGTTTCTCAGCTCAGAATTCTCTATGGAAACAGTCTTAGTCCGTAGCCCTTATTACACTACCTGCAGTGCCTGCTATCTGTTACCACCCAAGATGTCACCTCAGGTGTCTCAAATCACTTTGGAACTTTGGTCCTGCAAGGAAAAACTTCAGAGGATGACACAGTGCTGTCTTGGTGTGACACATAGCTCAGCACCAAGCATGACTTTGAACTCTTGGAGACAAAGACTGTCACATTTAGTTTGGTACTGACTTGTAGGGTTTGTACTCTCTTTGTGCCCTGATACAGTCTGGGACCTTGGCTCTGTTGTTAACCAGTGCTTTGTAAGAGATGGGGCAAAACCGCAATATTTCCCTACAATCGTAGAGCAGGATCAAAATGGTGCTATACTGTAACAGATGTGTGTTGTGTGTGTGAAGAGTACATGGGGATGTTCTGATCTGAGCAAACTAAACTACACCCTAGGTCTTCTTTCCTCTTTGTGTTTTATGATTGTGATATTTAAGTGATTTTACTGCTCGAAAGCTGTGGCTTCCAAAAAGCAAAACATGCATCTCTAATATCTTCATGTTTACCTTAATTTAGTGCATTTTTATTGTTCATACTTTGTATCAAAAGAAAACCCTGCTGAAAGGAAATCGCCACAGCAGATGGCATTGAAATACAAATAGAAGGTTTCACAGGAGTCCTGTCAGCAAACACTGTGTTGGAGATGCGCAAAATTACAATCCTGCAAATGACCATACAACGTGGGGAGGGAATGAAAAGAGGTTTAAGTAGCAATGATTGCCTTCTTCCCTATTCCATCGCTTTTTCTCTGGGCAGACATTAATAAAAGACAATAATGCTAGAAGCTACAGGGACTTATATAAGATTAAATTACTTTAATTGGGGTTAATTGAATAGGAATGATGGAACTCAAAATAGAAACAATGTATGTTATATGCAAATATAATTACAGAAAGGAAGTATGACTTGCCAACAAGGATAACAAATGGTACTACATATCAAGAAAGCACATTAAAGCTGCAACAGGTGGTTTTATGGTCTAGGTTGCAAGGCTGATGGCTTTTTTTTAATGATGGTTATTGTCTCTTCCATTTCAGGAGACTAAAAATTAGGACTAGTTGCACATTCCCATGTGCCACACTGAAAAACTTAATGTTCAAGAGAACAATCCTAGTTCTTAACCGCCCTTTGCTGTCATGGCACCCACTGATGTGAAGACCTACATGATGTGATGACCTGGCAGCCGATGCTGGAGGCTCTCTGCATGCTCAGTAGGAGACCTGCAGGTTACCTTGGCAGCAGGAACTAGTGAGGTATGAAGGATTGGGCAGGGGGTCAAGAGATTTTGTAAACATGAATAGTTTTTCATTTCTCCTTGTGAATTCCTTAAATAAATTCCACTGTGGAAAAAATTAGTATGATTCATGGGGTCCCACCTTTGATACTTCTAGGCAAGCAATGGACACTGTGAAAAGGCAAGTGTTTTCCCTGAATACACTCTAACTGGAACATGACTCAGCCTCTTACAGTGCTCCACAACAGGTTGTCCTGCTGCAAAGCAAAAGTACTTCAGTTACAATGGTATAATTTGTTTGTTGAAAATACCTCTTCTGCAAGAGGGTAATGTATGTGGGATATCGTCAAATAAGAATTTCTAACAGAATTTAAATGAGTGAAAACTTTGGTTTTCTCCTTTTGGTTCAGTATGTATGCTGGGAATTATGCATTAGAATATTTACCACAAATACTACATTGACTCAAAGCATGTCTACCAGTTTGAATTATATATTTTTTACTTTGGCTAAGAATTTGGTTGTATTTTCAGAAGTACACTGTGGTTTCTACTTTCCATCTCAGGTTTTGAATCTTGCAAATATCTGGTCTGTCTTTTGTTATATTTATAAATTTATTTCTTAGGATTATGATTAGACCTAATACTTTTTATTACAATTTTGCAATTACTCTAATATTTAGCACTTATCTACTAATAAATGTTTGTTCATACAGTGCTTTATAGTTTCAAAGTGTTACATGATAACTCACTATTAAACAGATTTTTTTTAAAAATCCTGTAAAACAGAGTGGTTTATAAAACAAGCACAAATTAACAGTCATCAAACTGATGCATAGCACAGTGGTTAGTGCTTCAGTATAACTGAGTACATGGGGAGAACTTCAGATGGTAAAAATTGCTCCAGATAAAAAATGTCGAGGTGCAACTTTCAATGTCAAGGCAACTCTATTTACTCTTAGCTGCTGTAGGTTCCATGTCTATGTCCAGGTCTGACAGAGCACAGTAGAAGAGCATCTGAACATATTTTGTTGTTTTAGCTGTAATACATAGCAAAAATGTGTGAGACAAAATTATAACATATCTTAGACAAATATATGGATTTTGAGGATTTGAAAGCACTACACAGGTATTAGGAAAATCTTAAACCACCTTAATTGATTGGATTAAGCACAAGTTATAAATAGCTAAAGGCAAAAGGAGCTCAATAATTACACAGAAAGTCTCATTTAATCAAACTTTCATCAACATTTTCATTGAATTGTCAGACTGATAGCTGAGTTCAAACTGAATAAAAATATTAAAGTTTTGCTTTTCAAGATTTCCTGAATTTGAGGAGTGGAAACTACCCTTCAGGCCAATAATTCATTATTTCATAATTTACAAAAATTCATGGACTTCTCTGACTCTGATGTTCCACTCCTTAGGCAGAAAGTGAAGCAATGGTGTCCTGATATTTGTGCCTTCCAGAGTATCAAACTGCATGCATTTAGTCTTCACGATCCTATATGGCTTTTATTGAGCCAACATCTTCAAATGGCTCAACACCACAAATATTAGATGACCATATATATCCACATATTGGACTGTTTTGTACAGGTATGCATAGTTTTGTTTTCAGGACCATGTGATGAAGCAAATGATCTCAGACATGCTGTATACAGCACAGTAAAACTTCATAAGGAAAAAGGATTCTAGGAAAAATTATTCTTTCCGTCTTCTGACCAAGCATTCAAGATTTTGACACGCTTACTAGGACAAGATGATGTTGCTTACCAGAGAGCCACTGTAGACATTTAGGTCGTTTTTCAACTGGCAGATAGACTCCCAAATAATATGCAGGAATGAAAAAATACCAACACCAATAAGGGAATTGATTGTATCGCTGTAGAGAGGAACTATGACCAGGAAAAGGGAACATAAACAGTATACTATAGGGAAGAAGAGGTTAAGCTGTGGAGACAAAAAAAAATTCCAACATTTATTAAAAGATGCAGTAAATATTCTATTGACAGGCTTTGCAGATTAAAATTAGACAAGTCAATAATAAAAATATAACTATTGACTATATGACTACTATGTACAGAATCTTTTGACAGCCTACAGTCAGTACAATTTGCTACCTTCTGTGTATGCTGCTGGGAATGTCTTATCTGGTACACACCTGAATATCTGACCATTTTGTTGTTTTCAGGCCTGCACAAGCTCAGTTCCTTTCCATAGTAGTAAGAGATCAATCTTTGAAAGCAGTACTTTAAAACCGAACAGCAATGGCTAACTTCAATTGCAAATTTTTAATTGTAAGTTTGATTGGGAACTAACTCAGCTAGGCTTTCACTTACTGTGTTGATGCTACAGAACTAATGGACTGATGTACAACTATTTTGCCTGGGCACTTAACAAATATCATACTGCAAATAAGGAAGGTTGCAATAACTTCTTTATGGATTTATTTTTCACTAAAATATTTTTCACTGGCTGTAGTAATGAGCCTTCTCAAGAGTCCAGGAGCTGACATTTGAATACTAGCTGAAACTCCTGAGAGTTTGCTGGTATAAATATTTCTTTTTCCTTATAAAGGTTAAAAACGTAAGTTGAAAACCAGCTGCTACGTTTCAGAAAAGGAAAAAGTGTATGAGGAGTTGTGACGTTGACTAAGCTGGCAAATGCTGATAGGAATTAAACAGTCATTATCTATAATCTGACTGTAATCCTTGCTTTGGTAGAGTCAATAGCAAAGCTGCCAATAAGGCAAGATTTAATCTTTATCTTCCACGTATTTTGGGGGAGAGTTTGGAAATGAAGTGTGAACATGCTTCAGGAAAATTTGATCTGCTCTGGAAGACTGGAAGGTTTTCTAGCAGTAGGTGCTTAGGATATTTTACTCCTTTGTTTGAACCATGTTTTTTATAATCAGGATATTACATTTAAAGGGGAAAAAAAAATGGTGCAGGAGGTTAGGAAGAGTGAGTGACAAGGAAGAAATATTTAGATAGGGTGTTAATTTTGATTTCTCATAATTTTTACTGCATCACTGCAGAGCCGAAATGCAGGTCATGGAGCCAACAGAGTGCAGGGAAACGGGAGCCAGCGCGTGGTTTTGTGTGCCTGGGGGAAGCTGTGGGTTTCCGTTCCTGCTTCCTGGACAATCACTGGATTAAAACTAGAAACAAGTTTTAGGCATGAATTGTTTCTGTGCAGTCTCCCTCTCCTAACTGATAGCCAGATGCTTTTCTGCAATCAGTCATTAAACTTGCATTTTACTGTCTATGACCACTATGCAGTGGGAAGGAACACAAAATATATTTGATTATTTAAATTTTTGATCTTCTGCATGAGCAGAATTTTGGGCATTTATGGGCTTTGGAGCCCATAATTATGCTGAATTTGTTAAGTCATGTGAGTTTGATCAGAGTGTTAACCTCTCTGGAGCCCCCATCACTAGCTCTACTGAGGTCTGCTGTGAACAATACAAAAGGGGGTTGTTCCAGGATGGGCTAAGAACCCTAGGCATTTATTTATTCCTTCTTTATTTTGAAATAAAGATAGTTATAAGGTTGAATGAAAGGAAAAAGAAATAGTAAATATCATTTCAACTCACAGCAAAAGTACCAGAACAGATGTTCTTGTGGAAACTCAAATGGGTTTTGCTCCTTCATTTCTTATCTTGTATGTTGAAAGGATTTCTATGGCTGATAAATAGTCTATTATATAACTGGTAATGTTACGGTTGTGGTATTAAGGATCACATAAACACGTGCATTAGCTGGCTTTTAGGGCTCGTTTCCTCTCTTGTTTACTTACTTTAATAGGCCGTGGTCTATGCGGCTGAGTATACCTCAAATATATCAGTCCTGCAATAGACAGACCCACAAAGAGCCAGTAGTTGAAGCAGTAGTAATTAATGAGGAGGAAAACATCTTCCACAAGGAGATAAAGCAAAGTCATTAAGCCCTAGAGATAATAAAAACAAAGACTTTTTAATGTGAAAATAAAGACATCTTATAAAATAAAGAGATAGTGAAGTTATAAACCAGTCTGTTTCCAACACATTTGTCTGGAGTTAGGAGATCAGGTCCTTACAAGAAGGATGTACTTAAAACTCTGAGGAATCTGCAGATATGCTGTGTGAAACATGCTGGTATCTCTTCCTTAAACATAGCAGTGAGACCACCACATTTGCCTGAAGAGGCGTTGGGTTTGTGGAGTGATGTTTCAGCACTAGCAGGAAACCCTCCTAAAGGAGGCCAGATGAGGAGCCCCAGACTGCTGCGTTATGGGGAAGGCTGCCAAGAAGCTTTCTGTAGGCAGTGGCTTACTCTGCTCTTCTGGTTGGCTTCAGTTGGAAAGCAAACTTTTAATTTAATTTCACTTTGGAGGCTCTCACAGTCCACTCATACATTGAGACCATGAGAGTAAATTCTGTGGTATGCAGGTATGCTATACTGCCTGCATGGAAAGACCTAAAATACAAGGAATTTAATGTCTGTTTTAACAGATGAGCAGAAAAAAAATTCCACTGTGAAAAACGTGAATGGTGGTGTATTAAGGGAGTATAGCTCATCTTACTGGTGCAAACAGAATCCCTCTGAGAAGGGTATTCATAATGAGATTATAACTTTTAGTAAATTATTTAATGTCAAACAGGACTGGTATGATAATCTATTCATAAACCATATGTAACACAGGGCAATGGAAGACACCAAATAAAATACATGTTCAAATAAACAGCAGTGAAATGCTTTTGAATGATTCTACCTTCTCTGTTTGTGCATGTCCTCCCTCTTATTTTAATCTGTTAGATTTATGGGTTATTTGTTAAAATCATTTGCACTGATTCTATAGCTTATGGTTCCTCGATTTTGTCGCAAGATTCATTTGTATAGTGACAGCAGGAAAAAGTCAATATGGCTATAGGCATCCAATGGTAGGCATTTAATTTTAAGTGCTTTGTCACTCCTGTTATAACTAGAGTCCTAGAAAATCAGCCTACAGGAGGGTCTGAGAGATGTTCCTGCCATATTCTTCTGCAGTGACACTCGGAAAACTCACATAAAGACTTAAACAACTCCTGTCTAGACTGTTACATATTTAGCCATTCTCTGTTTTCTAAGTAATACTATTGTACTTACTCCTCACAAATCTTGTTCAGAGAGCATATGAATGTGAATCAAGCCATTCTCTTTCCACTGAAAAAACCCCACCAGACAAAAAAAGACCACCCCCCCCAATGAGTTTTAGAAATTGTGGGGATTTGAGGAAGACGTCTCCAGCACAGGGGAAGCCCAGGAGAAACACCAGGCAGAGGCGAGGTGTTATACTCCCCGGGTCTGAACCGCCGGCTGCCCAGGCCAGGCACAGGGCCGGGCTGTCACTTACATTGAAGAGGAGAGCAGGGACTGGTGTGAAGCGCTTTATATGAATCAAGCTCAGACTGTCAGGGAGGTGTCCTTCCCTGGCTCCAACATAAAAAAGCCTGAAAAAAAGAATAAGAAAACTCAACCAGATAGTAAGCCAAGGAATAGCTTGTTGCTTTCTGACAAAGGCAGCATTAATTCTTTTATTACTCTATTGTAAATGCTGCTATCTTCCCAAGTGGCTTTAGTTTATCAGTTGGTGCTGATCGTGAGAAGACATGTCACACCATAACAATCCTTCCATCATAAATGAACAAATTGACATGGCAAAAATTAACTGTGTCACTTTCACAATGCAGTAGTAAAGAATGCAGATTAATAATAAATATTCCTTTTCAATTATTTAAAATAAATTTTATATTTCATACCTAGATGCTGCAATTATTGATGAGTTTAAGCCACTATAGCAAGACATGGCCACTGCTATAGGAATTATCCACTTAGCATAACTAAGGGTTTCACCGCCAAACGTCTGTAACAGAAAAAGAAAATAATAGTGAGGCCCATTACGTTAAGCATACGGACAATCCTGAGAAACTCTCATGAAAACACACCAGCCCAAATATAGTGTCACAGCCCATGCTTTCTTATGACACCTGATAATGACTGGGGAAATTAGAATTTGGAAAAACTGATCATTATCAAACTAAAAATGGCCGATACATTAAAAAAAGATTAAAAAAAAATTTCTAAGTCTAGATCAAGTCAATGAGATAATAGAAGAAGATGTATTGGCTTTAATGTATTCTGACAAATCCTGACTGTAGTAATCCATGAGTGTCCTAGTTTCAGCTGGGATAGAGTTAATTTCCTTCCTAGTAGCTGGTACAGTGCTGTGTTTTGGATTTAGCATGAGAATAATGTTGATAACTCACCGATGTTTTAGTTGTTGCTAAGTAGTGCTTACACTAGTCAAGGACTTCTCAGCTTCCCATGCTCTACCGACTGAGAAGGCTGGAGGTGCACAAGAAGCTGGGAGGGGGCACAGCCAGGACAGCTGACCCCAACTGGCCAAAGGGACATTCCATACCGTGTGACGTCATGCTCAGTACATAAACTGGGGGAAGCTGGCCGGGGGGGCCGCTGCTCGGGGACTGGCTGGGCATCGGTCGGCGGGTGGTGAGCAATTGCACTGTGCATCACTTGCTTTGTATATTCTGTTGTTGTTGTTGTTATTATTATTATTACTATTATTATTAATAATTTTATTTCAGTTATTAAACTGTTCTTATCTCAACCCACGAGTTTTCTCACTTTTGCTCTTCCAATTCTCTCCCCCATCCCACCGGGGGGGCGGGTGGAGTGAGCAAGCGGCTGTGTGGTGCTCAGTTGCCAGCTGAGGTTAAAGCACGACAATGAGTTATAATTGTACTTTTGTATAAAATATTGATAATGTTTTAAAAAGCATTTCACTACACATTTTTGTGTTGAAAATATTGCTGTGGTTCTGCAGCATTAAACATCACACACTGTACATTAGAATGATAGCAAACCCCCCTGGTTCTTGAACCACCCAGACTTTCCATAGCTCTGTCTCTGGCTGGCCCTGGCAAAAGCAACTTCTACAATGAAGCACTGTTAGGAGCAGGATTTACAGAGTATATAAAAGGATTTTACAAGAGCAGATTTATTGGATATATTCTTTATATGCACCTTCTAATATACTGGTACCCTTACATGAAAACAAAGTTTGAAACAAAGCAACAACCTTCATCATGGAAATATTTCATTTTTTTTTGCCAAGAAATATGCTATCTGAGATTATTCTGCAGTGTCATCCATACAGTAACTTTTGGATTAATTATTTTATACAACTTACCACAGCCACTGCATCACTTGTGAGGAGAGCCGACATGTCCAACACTACGTAGTATGCTATATTAGTCAGCAAGTAAATAACAGTCACAATAGGCATTGAAATTGCAATAGAAAGAGGTAGATTCCTGCAAAAGGAAAATGGCAAAAATATTTCATGTTCTTTGAATAAGGAATATTTAAATAGAATATTGTTCCCAAATGCAAACATTTGTGAACGGATACCTCCATCGCTTTTTGTAATCCATCATTTTGTAATCACGGGGTTACAAAATAACATGCAGCCATGTGTAGAACAATTCCATAAGCAGCTTAGTTGGCTGCTTGTGGGTCTGTCACAAGTTTTAGAGAAAAAATGTACATTTATACCTGTAAATTTTATATATTGTCTTTTCTATGAAGCAATTTAAGAGAGCACATAAGCAATGAGATTTAAATGCACATTTAGGTGTTTTCGTGATCATAGCATTTTTTACCTGACTCATAACCTATGTATGTCCCAAGACAAGGTGGACTCAGTCTGAGTAGGTGAGGCACACCACTCCCACAGGGTGGACATCCCTACAGAGGGGAGGAGATGATATTTCCAGTGCTACTGTAGACTTTTTTATTTTTTACTTAACCTTTCATCTTTAGTAAAATTACACAGTTTTCCCCAAAACAGTAATGCTGAAGATCACATGATAAAACAGTCATAAACCTGAAACAGTCTTACTCTACTAGTGGAAAATAAAATAATTGTTCTGTCTGACTGAAAAGAAATAGGGAATTTTGGAGAGCTAGATGGACCCACACTTTTCCCTGCTTTCAGCAGGGATTTGTTCTCCTCCTTTAAAAATTTTGGCCGAAAGTGGAAGGTTTAACATACACATATGCAGACAAGTGATTTATTAGTGTGATAAAATTGGTGAGAGAGGACAATAATCAGGAAGAGTTTGCACACTTACTACTTCTCAGGAAAAGAAGAAGGTTTTTGCAGATAAAATAGTTTGACTAATTTCCAGTCAGAAACAAATACAGAGCAGCTTGTCCTGCCATCACCTGTCTTACCAGGACACTTCAGCGATTCAAGGGAAAGCACCCATTTACCTCTCGGGGTTCTGCATTTCCTCGGTGACGTAGTTGAGCGTGTCCCATCCCGAGTAGGAGAAGAGGGCAGAGTAGAGAGCCAGCGCGATCATCCCTGGGTTTGTTGCTGAGCCCTCGAACGGAGCTCTCAGGTTTTCCGTTTCTCCTGAAGAAACGGCAGGTACCAATTTCCTGTTACATTTCAAGGATTACGACGTAGGAGAACATGACACTAAAAGTCTCAGCTAACCAAAAGGAAATAAAAGCCCACTGCATCCAGGTTTCATTACTATTTCTAAAAGTGCACAGCTTATATTTTCATTTGACAAATAGGAAAGTTTCACTCAGACGTTCAGACAGCTACACTTGTACAGGGATACAGCAGAAGACGTTTTCCCGTGTTTGTTATTTGGATGTGACTTGTGTAATTCTACCAGAATTCACGGGGTCCTCGTCTCCTGGCATCGCTGTCTAGCCTACTGAAGGAGTGAGCCATACTGAGGTCATGCTATGCCCTGTCAGCCAGGCAGAGGCACTTGGGAAACCCAGTTTCAGTTCCTGAATCTGTCTCATATTTCTTCCTCATATCTGTGCTTTTGTTTTCACCAGATGAATTAGTGGCCACTGGAGGGGGAACTCCTGAAGGTATAGTTCTCAGTGGGATGTTCTGCCCCACAAAGGTGTTCCCCAAAATTAAGAGAGGAGACTTGAAAAATCTTTCCTTTCAAATTCTCCTCTAGTTTAGCTCAATCGGTTGAGACGACAACCTGCAGAATGCTGCAAAATAGACAAAATGTTAATGAAACTGTGTGAGCCTTCACTACAATTCTGGAAAGGGGAAGAAAGGCCTTACTGAGTTTGCAGAAGGAAAGTCAACTATCTAATATAAATGGAAATGGGTTAAGTATTAAGAAAGACAGAAACATGCTGAAACGTCTATTAGGGAAGAAAGTAAGGTCTTTGTTGTAAAATGAAACAAATTCACCCTGTGGTTGGTTAAACTAAGGAGTTTATAGATACCACAAAAGTAATTCAGTCTTTGAAGAGCAGTAACTACCAGGAGACTGTTCAAACCAAGGAGGGTGAAGCTACAAGGTGTACACACGCTTTGAGGAAGAAAATGGTTGGAAGAAAAAGAAAAGAAAAAATCCAAAAGGACCAAGAAAAGCTTTTTTTACTAAAGACAGCACATACTCAAAATCAGACACATTCACAGTGTTTTAAAACAAGAGGCGTATCTAAGCACATCAGAAGGAATATGGCAGGGCTGAAATGTCATAACTGTTCTTTTCATTAAAACAGCTGCTGAATTTAAAGAGTACATTGACCCGATCACAACTTCCTCCAGAAGTCTACATCATTCCTCCTCCCAGTCCTTTCCGTATTTAAGTGCTTGGTTCTGCTTAAACAAAGCGGAGGCAAGACCTTTACTACCACTAAAAGCCCTCAGCATTTTGTGTTTCTCACAATAATATTTCCTCTCCACCTTTACCCTCCCTGACCCCACGGAGCAATGCAAAGGAACTGGTGTGGGCTATATGGGTGCAGGAGCAGAGGGAATGGCCCCTGGGCCAAACTGCATCGTGGCAGCTGCACGCCAGCGAGCGGGCTGGGAGTTTTGAAGGAGTCGATTTGAGAGTACGGGCAAATTATGTGACTGTGGGGACAGGGCAAAGCTGCTATAGGGGTGACATCATGGACTCACACCGTTGTAAAACTGCAGCAGCTTTATGAGGGGAACTACTCCTTCCTGTAACTGTGGCCCTGAAGCAATGCTTTTCCTCTGCATCTTCACATTCCTGCCTTAGGACTGGGTTCCTTTGTTCAGGTTTCTTTAAACTTGAACAAACCAGTGACAACTGACATGCACGGATAATGGCTAAACAAAAAAGCTCTCTTAAAGTCTGGTGTAGCTTTACAGAGTAACAGCTGATGCAACTGCAGCCAAGGAAAGGAGAAGGCCAGCAAATGTGGAAAAGCAAGCATGCTTGTTAGGTTTTATAAGCTAGTTTC